TTCCAGAAGCTCCTTCCAGTTACACACTCTCTCCTGATTTAACAACTCAACTACTTTTGACTGGTTTTGAACTTTATGTAAATGGAATCGTATTTCATATACTCTTTTGTGTGACTTCTTCTGCCCTTGAGTTACACTTGTGAGAATCATCAATATTACCCATTGTTTGTATGTGGTTGGATTGGTTTATTCTCATCCGCTGTGTCACAGTGCTTCTCAACCAGGGTGGTTTTGCCCCATAGGGGACTTTTGGCAAGATCAGAAGGCATTTTCAGGTTGTCACAGCTGGTGATGTGGGAACAGTACCTGCTAATCCTCCTAAAATGCATAGGACAACATCCCCACAACAAAACCCAAAGGATTATTAGTGCGACAGTTGAGCATAATATTTTGTCATGTGAATATACCATAATTTCTTTTAGCTGTGTATTTCTGAAAGCCTCAATTTCAACATTTGTGAGCATTGTACACAATGCTTTGAAATCTGGAAACTAAACTTATCAAACTAAAGAAACTACCAAACAGTCTTATCAAGCTAAAAAAACTACAAACAGGTGATTCTTTAGTTTTTAGGGTATATGTTAGTGTAAAAATAAATTATATCTAGTCTAGGTCACAGACAAAACTTACATATTTTGGAAACTTTACAAGAATTTGAAGAGATAGTGAATGAGAGAATAGATGAAAATAGGTTTCATCAAAGAATGAAGTGAGAGATTCTTCTTAAAATAATTTTATTGAAGTATAATTTTCATAGTGTAAAATTCATCCAGTGACTATAATTCAAAGATTCTTAGTGACTATACAAAGTTGAGCAACCATTACCACAATAGAAGGTAAGGACATTTCCATCACCAAAAAGATCGCTTGTGCTCCTTTCGAGTTGTTCCTGTTCTTATCCTGAACCCCAAGAAGCCAGCAGTCGCCTTTCTGTCTCCAAGTAATTCCTTTTTCTCGGCAGTCCCCATTAATGGAATCATAAATTCTATGGTCTTTTATAACTGACTTCTTTCTCTTATAAAATGTTTTCAAGGTTTATCTATATTGTCATGGATATCATTATTTCATTCTTTTTTAATGGCTGAGAAGCCATAAAAATTCTTTTGTATGGACATGTCATATTTTCTTTATCCATCTACAAGTTATAGATATTTGGGTTTCCAGTTTGAGGCTTTTCTGAACAGTGGACACAAAGGATTTTGGAACACTGCTAGGTAAACGACACAAGAAGTCTTTTGAAGAAGACACATGATTTTGGACCAGATCATTTGTCATTTTTTTTTTAAAGATTTATTTTATGGGCCCTCCCTAGTTGCATAACTGGTTATAGCACAGCACTGTGAGGCTATCCACAGCCACTGCAACATTAGTTTGATTCCCAGTCAGGTAGGTGACCCACAGGGCACAGCAGACCTCTCCTGTCTTGCCTGCTGCTCCCCTCAGCAGTGTATTTCAATCAATCTGCCTGTTCTGCTCCCCAATCTGTCTCTGGTGAACTCTCTCAACCCCCCACCTCTGGGTTTTACCCTGATTCTGTATACATAAACAAATAAATCTTTTTTAAAAATTAGAATATGGGGGCACCCCTGGTGATGCAGCAGGTTAAAACACAGCACTAAACAGCTAAAGCCACTTCATCATGAGTTTGATTCCCACCCCAGAGTTGATCCAGATGGCGCGGCAGACCTCCCCTGACCTGCCCACGGCTCCCCTCAGCAGTGTACTTCGTCAGTCAGCCTGTTTTGATCCCCACTCTGTCTCTACACCATCCCTTCATCTCTGGCCTGTACCCCAGTTCTGTATGCACAAATAAATAAATCTTAAAAAAAAAATAGAGTGGCCCTCCCTGGTGGGGCAGCGGGTTAAAGCACAGCACTGAGAATCTAAAGCAGCTTCCGCATGAGTTCGATTCCCGCCTGCCCCGGAGGTGACCACATGGCGTGGCAGACCTCTCCTGACCCGCCCACTGCTCCCCTCAGCAGTGTACTTCGTCAGTCAGCCTGTTTTGATCCCCACTCTGTCTCTACACCATCCCTTCATCTCTGGCCTGTACCCCAGTTCTGTATGCACAAATAAATAAATCTTTAAAAAAAAATAGAGTAAGAAAGTGAGAAGACAATTATAAATAGTTGATTGTACTGAAAGAAGTAATTAAATATGGCTCATTTTGTGATCTTATGAAAAGTAAATTATAACTCAAACAGACAGACCTTTACTAGAGTAAATAGGCAGAGAAAGGAACACCAAGGTAGAAGTTGAGACTGATACCTCACAGGAATGTGCAGATCACGTACAACGATAGCACAGAAGTATCCTCACATTATAAACTCTTTTATACAGATGAAGGAATTTACTGTTACTAAACAAAGTAAGGGTGCTCATAGAAATTGACCACTGAATGACAAAAGAGTTACTCAGAAGCAAACTAACCTCCACAAAAGGTGAATTTATGGTGAATACTAATGGAATGTGGTGACCCCAAAATGCTGAACCTCCTCAGTGACCCATTTCATCATTCACTGAAGTTGTATAAATAATGGGACTTGTTCTTTAGCTATATAAAATCATGTGGCTATATGGCCTGAGAGTTGCTTGTTTTATTAGATCAGAATAATTATGCTGTAAGAGTGGGTTATAAAGGGTAGGGAGTGGGTAGTGGGGAGGTTCTAAACACTTTATACAGACTCCTCTCTTCCCCTTACACTCCCTTCTTTCAAGGATAACTTTTTTATATGATGTTTAATTATCTATCTAACTCATAACGTAATAATAAAAAAACGTTGTTTTTGTAATAGCATACACAAGATAAGAGAAGTTCTACATTACAAAAAAAAAAATCCGTTTCTTTAGTACTTCCTTCTTAAGGATTTGTTTGTACAGGATTTTTTAAGATTTATTTATTTATGCATCCAAGAACTGGGGTACAGGCCAGAAGTGTGGGGAGGTAAGAGTATTCACCAATGACAGAGTGAAGAGCAGAACAGGCAGGTGTACTGAAATACTGCTGAGGGGAGCAGCAGGCAGGACAGGTGGGTCACCTTCCTGGCCACGGTTCCAACTTGAAGTTGTAGTGTCTGTGGACAGGCTCACAGTGCAATACTTTAACTCATTGTGCCACAAGGGAGGGCCCCGTACAGGATTTCATAGACAATATATACTCAGGGGGGGGCAACATGAAGCTGAACCACTTAAACATTTAAAAGAAGGTAAATCTTCTATTCAGTAAGTTTTGTTTTACTTTATTCTACCAGAAGGTCAAATCCATATTGTTGCCAATACTGTAAATGTTTCCCAAGCTTATTTGGCCAATACCCGTTATTTCTTCAAAGAAAACTTTATCTCACGAGACAATCTGAAGAACAAACTTTGTGAAATGTTGATATGATCATCATTTATGGTTAGCTCCTTATTTACATGATAGATTGAAGTTAAATGAACCAAGTTTATTATTTTAGGTGAGAAGTTGACTACCACTTCATTCCTGTTTTTTTAGTGCTTCAAGTCATTTCAGATTTTTATAGTAGATAAAATGAGGTGGGTTGACTCTGCTGTTTTGACCATAAAAAAATAACATCTGGCACAAATCATACACAAACTGCATTATTGCACTCGCTCAACTGAATTATATGTCATGAAATCTTATTTTCAACATTTTTAATTAACCAATCTTAGTTAAATAAATGTTTGTCATCCTTAGTGTGTGAACGAAAGGTCTGGTATTCTAGTTGCCAGGAAATGTGACATCTATATAAATAATAGAGAAAGTGTAATGTTGGAGAATGTAAATGACATCCATGCATTTCAAATTATATTTTTACTGTGTCAATTTAGAGGAATCCATGTGTAACAAAGGCCTACACAGGAGAAAGGAAGGAGAAAGAGAGGGAGGGCAATAGGGAAGAAAGAAAAACAGGAGGGAAGGTGAAGGAAAAGGAAGCACGAACTTGTCATCTGATTCAAATTTTCATTTGGTTAGTTATGTACATAAAAGACCTGTTTGCTCATGGTTTTCTGAATTGGCTCTTTTCTGTGAGTCTCAGGCTAGAAAGGGTAGCACCTTAGCCCTCTCCCAAAGCCTCACTGGTACAAGTATACAAAGAGACCAGGGTCTCAGATAGGCACCCATAATTCAGTAACACTTGAATTCCTTTGAATTGACATTATCAGCACTGAAGGTGTTACATAGTGCACGGAGAGAGGGCACCATGGAACCCACAAACCTGCCTGCTGTAAATGGGTTCTGCCATCTGCCACATCAAGACAAAGCATATAAGACCTTTAATGGAAAGGAACTTTAATACAACTAGTGTGCAGTATAGAAAAGACAAAGAATATAGTTTCTAAATCAAACACACAAAGTTACCCATCCCCTCGTGGGTAACAGTCCATCCAAAAGGGATTGGCCTAAAGCAAGGCCTGAAAGCCTGCCACAAGACTAAAGCACCCTATGGCTGGGACCCATAGAAAAGGGTCAGAAATGGCTAGACAAGACTGGGGGGAAAAGAGCAAAATCAAAATCAAGGTAAATGCTGCCATAATGAACTTCCCTATGGCCTCTCACTCACATCTGCTTTAACCAGTCCAGGACCAAGAAGCAAACACAGTTTCTTCATATGTCTCTCTGCTCTGTGTGCTCCCTTAGGTCACCTTCTGGCCCTCCATCCTGCTTCCTTCTTCCTCAGACTCCTCTCTTCTCTGTTCAGCTCCACCCTCCTTCTGGGTGGGGCAGGGAACCTGGAACCTCCCCTTTTCCTGGGGACCACCCTGTTACAAAGGTTAATTTTTCCATTGAACCAAGAAAACTTTTGTTTTTGAAAAAGATTACATATCTAATATTCAAACAAGACATCTTATAGTGTACAGCAGTGATGTATATCAATGACTTCCTAGGGCTATAAAACTGCCTTAAATCGATTCTGGTTGTTCTCCATTCTTTTTTTTCTTTTTACATAAGTTAATCCATTTGCTAAAGGCTTGCAATGTTCCAAATTGTAGAACTTCTACTGGTCTTTCAGTTCTTTCAGTTTGCTGATGACAGACTTTACTATGACACCAGAAATGATGTTGTAGGTCCAGGCACCACCAGCCACCATTTTCATGCAGGAACCACAGTGCCAGATCCCCACAGTGCTTTTGCCATAAAAGAAGCAAATGTACATGGCTTTCTGGCTGGTTTCAATTTTCTTCACCATTTTACTGAGGGAGGCCCCATAACGGATCCCATATTTACCAACCATCCTCACCTTCTTGATGCATTTGGCCATGTCGCCGTAAACTAAGTGAGCGCCCAGAAAGAGTTGTTCACCATTCTTGAGGTATAGCTTTGAGGGGCTTCTCTGATGGCCAAGGGGTTCAATCTTAGTGGTATCACCACTGCAGCCTGAATTTAATTCTGGCCAAGGAGCCTGCTGCTGCCCTTAGCAGTGTATTTCAGTAAGTAGCTTTGTCTCTGGTGAATCCTCACACCTGTTTCACCTCTGTCCCCATGGCCTCTCCCATGCACCACTGGCCAACCTCAGTTTTTATATGCAGAAATAAATAAAACATTAAAAAATGGGAGAGATTAAGTCCTTGCAATAGAAAGAGCATGCATGATAATCACACAGAATATTTATCTGAGAAAGTTATGAAGGATGGCATCTAAAAACATGTTTGAACAAAAAAGGAGTTTGTCACTAGAAATGATCAGGAAATAGTAAAGAGCAGTTCCACCATCATGTCAAGCCATCTGAACAAGTGCCGCCATTGCTGAACGTGTCGATACTGGAGGATATGCAGAGCCCATCATTTAGGGGAGGCTGCAGTGCTTCTTTATTGCTACTCTGCATAGCCAAGTAGAGGACCTGGGAGTCAGAGGGAGGAGTTTATCTGGAAAGCAGGGTCACACAGAGAGCTTGAAAGGTAGAGTCAAACCAGTTGTCTGTGCTGAGTGACAGTGAGTGATCTGGAGGCCTCTCTTCTTCATCCAAGGAATGGGGTAGATAGCAACAACTGTAAACCCTGAGACACTGCTTGTAATTATGTGCAGAGTATTCCAAATTATGTGGCTGCCCTGCATCATGATGGTTCTACAATATGTGCATGTATGAGGGAATGTGCCTGACAGTCACCGTTTCCACCACCTAACAAGAACCAGAGTCTGTGGAATAAATTTTCATTAGTGTGCAAAGTTGCTGCATGACAGTCCTGAGAAATTGTGGCCAGAAATATTTCATCCTCATGCTAATTCATGAAGGTTTAAACACATGGCTAGAGACTCAGGCCCTTAGTAGCCTTTCTTTATTTTTAAAGATTTATTTATGCATGCATGCAAGAACTGGGTGTAGGCTAGAGGTGCAGGGGTGAGAGGATTCACCAGAGAAAAAACAGATGTACTGAAATACACTGCTGAGGGGAGCAGTGAGCAAGACAGGAAAGGTCTGTTGCACCATTGTAGGTCACCTCCCTGGCCGGGATCAAACTTGTGCTGCAATGGCTGCAATAGCTTCATAGTGCTGCACTTTAACTCGCTGATCCACCAGGGTTTTAAAGCCTGTCTGCTTATTTAAAAAGGTGAAAGATCTATACGATCTGAAGAGAAACCAGAATATCTGTCTGCTTATTTAGATGAAATCTCTTGCATACTATTTAAGGGCAAAAATAGTGACTTGATATGCAGAGGGCATAAACCATTGTGAATCCATTTATAGTTATATTGTATCAATATATGTTATCTACAAAATCAACAAAATGATTGGGTGATGTTTTTAGTGCCTCATTAATGAAGAGTGAAACCAGCCCATAGGTTAATCCATTAAAAAAAAATCCTAGTCTCGAAACTTAAGTCTCATCCTGATCCTGCTTTCCCTCTGAAGCTCTGACTACACCCAGCCCCCTCCACTTACCCTCATAGAGGAAACTAAAAGGGAAAGTTGTAGCCACACCCGCTTTATGAGCTGTTTGTCTTCTAACCTCAACACAAATAACAATGGCTTCACTTGGTACAGATGGCTTGATGTTCATGATGGAACCTAGGTTTAGACTTGATTAATAGGTTAATTGTTGCAGGAGTCATTCTGCTTCTATGAAAACAACCTCATGAGAGTTCCTTTCATGGTTTGACATGTCAAGTGCGCTAACTCAGGATATCTGCTTGGCCTTGAAGACTGTAGATTATTTGTGGTGCTTCTTTTTCAGGCTTAGATAAATCAGATTATACAATCTGCGCAGCTTTCATGTCTTTAAGACCCATCCTTATTGTGTGTTCATTCTTGTTGTTTGGTAGTTCTGATTTTACCAGACTGCTGTTGAAAGGTGGGCCATTGTCTTTCAGTGTTGTATCTACCCCATGAGATAGGTGCCATTATTCCACCCACTTTGCAAATGGGAAACTGAACTTTTGTGCAGCTTTAGAATGTGTTTTCACCACAAGTTACACGGGATCTAGAAAGGCCTGCGCCCAATTCGCCTGACTGGGGACCCCAAACTCTCTGCCACCTCAGCACCTAACTGAGCTCTTTCATGAAACAGCTTTTTAATCTGTTTCTATCTTTCCTTTGCTGCTCGAATGGATTCAAGTTTGAGACTGAGGAGTTGGACCAGGAGACAGATCTGTCATAAGACTACGTGTGACTTCCTTCCTCCCAGAGTATAGGGGTGTCCTCAGCTGGCTCATCCATTCACGTCACATATCCAAATTCCTGGGAAATAGAGTGTAGACTCAAATGGGGCCCTATTTTTTGGTGTGTTGTTGGCTTTATTGCTTAAGTTCCACTTTTTGCCATGTGATATATGGCTGTTTTGCAGTTTTTCTTGTTATTTTGTTTTTCCTGTAATGGGAAATTCTTTTCAATTATTGAGACTTCTCTGTGTGTGGAAAAAACAATGTCAACTCATACTTTGTTTTTTTAGAAAAGTCTCACAAATGCTTTTTCTTCCTGAGAGATACTCAAGGAGAGCTTATAAATTAACATTTCAAGGAAAGATCTGTTTCCTAGTGTTGTGTCGGGAAACCCCACACTAGGAAATTTAGAGGAGATCCGTTCTTGGCTTCTCCGTGGATGGGAATGGAGGGTCCTAAGTAAAGCCAGCCACTCTCCAGTTCTCTGGTCAGAAAATCAGATGATCTGCTGCTACATCATTTCCTGACCAGCTTAGATAAGTATAGAAGTTTGTCGGAAATTTGGCGTGATGAATAGAGATAGTAGAGAAGGAGACCTGCATTCGAGTTTCTCAGAGGCCAGATGACCTTATGTAGAAAGACAGGCCCTGCACCTTGTTCCCTACCCTGGAAAATAAGAAACAATTTTGATATTTTTCAAATCTGGATGGAAGATTTTCTTTCTTTCTTTCCTTCTTTTTAAAGATTCCTTTATTTACTTATGCTTACAGAACTGGGGTACAGGCAAGAGGTGTGATGGGTGAGAGGATTCACCAGCGACAGAGTGGGGAGTAGAACAGGCAGATGTCCCAAAATACACTGCCGAGGGGAGCAGCGGGTGGATCAGGGGAGGTCTGCCGCGCAATGTGGGTCAGCTCCCTGGCCAGGAATCAAACTCATGCTGTAGTGGCTTCGGAGAGCATGATGCGGTGCTTTAATCTGTTACACCACCAGGAAGAGGTCAGATTTTCTTTTTTTTAATGACAAAGTTTGTGTTTGTGTACATACGTAGGTATAAATTTTTTTAATGTATATATATATATATATATATATATATATATATATAATAGTTTATTTTTACATCATTTTTCCATCTCATTTACAGTCCCCTTGGGCTTCCCATCACCAAATCACCCATGTGCCATCACCATAGTCCAGTGCATTTCCCTCCCCCTACTGTTTTTGATCCCCTTCCCCACTCCACCCCCACAAAATGTCTCTGATATATAGCTGTTCATCATTATCATTATTTTTTTCGCCTGTTCCGTTATATTCCTGCTATGAGTGAAACCATCCGGTATTTTTCCTTTTCTTTCTGGCTTATTTCACTAAACATGATCTTTTCCAGTTCCATCCATGTTGCTACAAAAGACATGTGTTTCTTTCTTTCTTCTTCTTCTTCTTCTTTTTTTTTTTTGGTTGCTGAGTAATATTCCACTGTGTTATATGTACCACATCTTTTTAATCCACTTTTGGGCATTTGGGCTGTTTCCATGTCTTTCCAATTGTGAATAAAGCAGCAATAAACATGGAGGTGCAGGTATCTTTTTAAATCAGTGTTTTTTTTTAGAAAAGTCTCACAAATACTTTTTCTTCCTGAGAGATACTCAAGGAGAGCTTATAAATTAACATTTCAAGGAAAGATCAGTGTTTTTGTGTCTTTTGGGTAGATACCTAGGAGACAGGTATACATTTTTAAGGACATTTTATAAAAATTCAAAATACAGGCTCTTCTCTGTAGAACTTCATGCTTTTCTTCCAAATACTTCTTTCCTCTGTGGAATCTATGAGGCATACCAGCTGCAAGAGTGAAATCTTTGGCCTTTACCTTAATCCTCCCTCTAGAGAAACATGAAGTCATTTTATTCACTGGTTGATAGAGGGGTTAGATGCAGCTACTTTACAATGTTTGAATTCAGTCTTCTTCAGTTCTGAAATTTCCTTCTCTTTCTCTCACTGTCTTCATATAGTCCTGCTTATGTTCTCCCCAAGACTCAGTATTCCATCTCAACCACCCTTCTGCCAATAAACCTGCTCTTCACTATTTTCAAGGTAATGTGTAGAAGCTGCATGATCTTAATGTAGGGTATTAGGTTTTGTTGGAAAAAGTACCTACACTTTATGTCTGAGATTTCAGAAATGGCTGTAAAACTGCAGTCTCTCAAGATGAATAAATGTAGTTGTTTTTAGCAATTAACAGCTTGGGACCAAGAATTTTAAATCCTTTTTATCAACTATTATGGGTTGACAAATTAGTTTGAGTAAATATACATCCTTTTTACTCAGTAAAATTTCAATGCCTACAATATTTCAGAGGTAGGATTTCAAATAAATATGGGTACAGCCAATTCAGGACAGAAAATAACCTAAGTATTCTACAATTTTTAGTGTTCCCTAGTTTTCCCTAAGCATCAAAATTATCCGAGGCACTTTTAAAACAAAGTACAGTTTCTCAAGCCTACCCCAGACCAATCAAGTCAGAATCTCTAGGAATCTGTATTTTTAACAAATGCTCCATCAGATTTATACAATTAAGTCAGTTTGGGAAAGGGATTCCAGTAGAAAAGAAATACAGCGTGTTCAAATGTCAAGTCCCACCCGCAGACGATGGAAAGATTAGCAGAA